AAAAAGTATTAGGTGTGTCCCGCGCGCTCATATGACCTTATGCAGTTGCGAGCGCCGTAAAACCCTATACTAAACAAACAACAAACAATCAGAATCCGGTGGCGCCCTCTTCGGAAAAGCGCACCCTTTGCAAACCCTACTTGTGGGAAAAAAAATCAAATTGAAACTAACAAGTTTTTTTAATAAATTAGAATTCAAATTTCAGAAGAACGCTTTTTAAAAATGGTTACGCTGACAAAAAAACCTCTTCCGGTGGAAGAGGCGACTGTTTTCTTCGTTTAATGTGACTTTAGAATGAGAGGCGAGATGTCATTAAAAAATTTAAAACCCTAAAACTCAACACTGAACGAACCCGAACAGCTGATGAACAGCAGTCGATCTTCGCACGCAAGGGGGTGCTATTCCTATTCTTCTTCTGGAGAAACGAACGAGAGCTTCAAAACAAAGACTTCAGCGCCATCTGAAGCAATGAGCAGACTTCCGCGGACACTTTTTTGGCTGAGTGGCCCATCTTGTTATTTACTATCTTTGGTAGCATACAGAAGGTGTAAATTCGATTCCCTAGCTATAGGTGGAGGTTGTTTTTTTTTAAGTTGAGTATCTCCGTTTGTCTTCACTGGACGTCATATGCCTCTCAGCCTGGGTTGGGGGCTCTCGTAGTCTAGAGGTACGGTGTTTGCCTCTCTTTCAATATGTCCCAGGTTCGAAACCTGACAGCGACTGAACATTTTCATTTTTTTTTCTCTAAAAAATTTATTTAACCTTTCTTGCTCTCTAACCGTGTTCTGTCGTCTGCTTTCGTCTCAACTTTCCGCCTCCTCCCCCTCACCTCCTTTGCGCCCTCTGGGCTCCCGACTCCTACTGCTATCTTTCTAATGCTATTCCTTGGCTCTCTCTTACTTCTGTCTTTCAGCCACACCTCTAATCTTAGGGTAGGTAAGATCTAACACCTGTAGCTTTGTCGGATATGGGCGAAAAAAACATCGGAGGTATCGTGTTCAAGTTGCGCACGTTAAAGATCCCTTGGTGGTCCTAAAATCGATCAGAGCAGGCTTCGGTCGCCACCCGCGCAAAATTCAAAATCAGTTCCAGCCAAAATGAAAATGCTTTCTCTGGACCGCGCGCTCTTATAATTATGACCTTATGCATTTGCGTGCGCCGTAAAACACTTTTACAAATATTTTAAAATCAGCGTGGATTGGAGCAGTTCGCCTCCTAGATAATCTAAATTGAATCGACGGGGCCTTAAAACATGTACGGCACTACAACCCATCATGAGTCGTGTAGGTGTGACACGCTCGCCACTCCGGCCCCTATGTTTCTCCCTGTACTATAAAAGGTTAAAAGATGTTACTAGTTTGTTAGTGTTTTAATGCTATCTCAGCGATCGGACCCCAGGCGATCTTGTCAGTTTGTTGGTGTTTGAGCGCTTGATGGGCTGCTAACTCTGTATGCTTCGTGGGAATGTTTCCGAGTGTTTTAGGGATCTGCTGGGGTAAAACTAAAACAAAAACTGTTAATAATGCTGTCTCTGCTTGTCTGCTTTGCTCCCCCCCCCACCCAGCCCCTGAACTCTGTACTCTGTAGCCGAGTGACGTCGGTAGCCCAGTGGTTAGGTCACCGCACTCGTTATCGTGAGATTGCAGGTTCGGAGGTTAGAGCCTCAGCTCGGTCCGACGTTGTGTCCTTGGGAAAGGCACTTGACACGAATTTCATATTTTTGTCGGTCCTTTCGGAGATAGACGTTAAACTCAGAGGTCATCAATCATCACCAATGCCTTTCACCCCTGCAGGGTATAGGCCACATACAAGCTCCTTCCATTTATCTCTGTCCTGAGCCATCCTTCCAAGCTC